ACGGAAATAATAAAGTTTCATGCCAAGAAGCTCCAAACATACTAAGAAGCTATAAATATTTTGGCTTAAAAGAACATGTTATGCTAGCAAGTAATGTATTCGCAAGTTAAAAGATATGGAAACAATTCTAAAGCATAAATCATTCTCCCAAACAATTTAAATAAATATTTTATTTCATCTTAAACCTTTAATGTAACAAATAATATATTTTTTTTGTAATATACAAATAATTATTACTATGTGGAGGCAACTTTCCTTAAGACAGGAATTAGAAAAATTATAACTTATAACAATGTGGAGTTTATTCTTATTTATAACTATCCAAAGTTGGGAATATTATTTTTTATGACTATGCAGAGTTTATTCTTATATAGAATATCACTATAGAGATGTTTTACTGTATCTCCTAATTCTTGATATGTTCCCTTTAAAATTAAAGTCATTTTCAAGAATTTATCCAAATTATTTTCTATAGATATAGAGCTATTCATTTTATAAGCAAATAAGACACCTTTTAAGAAAGCTAAATTTGGAGCAGATTGTAAAGAGTATAATAAATCGAGTTTCCCCCATAAAGTCAGTGGAGTCTCCATGCCTTCTACCTTCCTCAAGACTTTGTCCAAGAGATTCATGATGATGAGGTTGTATGCCTCTTCATCAACTTCAGCCTTTTTCTTTAATTTCTCTTGTGGCCACTTTGTTACATCATTTTCCAGTGCAATGGCGACCTTGTTGTGTAATAGTTACATTTTTTTCTTCTTCTTCCAATTGTTAAAATTGATCTTCCCATCATACTGGGTGATCTCCATGCGTGTTGTAGCCATACCAAGTTTCTTGATATTGTTATCAAAAGAATCTCAATCGAAGAAACCCTAGAACTCGAAATTGATTTAATTTGACACAATTGAACCTCGATTATGGACTCTAATCTGTTTAGGAGCTCAAAGAACTGACTAATCAAGAAAACCCCCAAATTCGATGCACCCTAGATTTCCAAAAAATTACCAAATCGCAAAATTGATAACTCGAATCTTAGATTTAAAGACCCTAGAACTCTAAGGAACTTACAAATTGAGAAAGCCCTAAAATTTGACGAACTCTTAATCAAGAAATTACTCCAAATCAAGAACAGACCTAGAGATCGACGAACCCTAGATTTCTAGCTCTAATACCACTGTTACGATTCAATTCTATTACCAATTTCAACTTAACAAACTAAAATCAAGTATAATCAAAACACACACTCTAATATCCTCACTCGCTTCCCATTAATCACTCTTCTTTACACCCGCAAATCTGCCCCAAGGGAACTCAACCTGGAAACCCTTCCACCCAAGAGTAAACCCAAACCTTACAAAGTGACTAAATGTCACTACTACAATGACAGATTTACAAAGAAGGAAAAAATCAAAAAAAGCAAGCCTAATACGATGCAGATTTGCAAAACAAAAGAAAGAGATATTCACTTGTGTTTTTGTGTTGACTTCAGAAAAGAGAGAGAGGGTGCTTTTATGCTCCTATCCAGGTGGCAGCAAGACAGCCTTTAGATCATATTACAAATCCAAGGTCAAGACAGGTGCAAGGCAAAGCAGCAACATAACAGTTTAGTTGTGCGACGCTGTTTCTAACTTCACCTTCAACAGTTACCCAAAAAGTTACCCACACTCCGTCAAAATTTATTAGTAAAATCCATTTAAAACAAGACAATATGGTCATTTTTTATGTAGCCAAAAAATCTAACGCCGCGTGTTGTTCACCCTTTTTAATATTATATTCAAACTATGAATTAAACCGTCAGCCACAAGACATCAAAAAACAAAGAGAAGGTGAAGTTTTTGTGTCATTGATATACTAAAACCTAATTAAGTTTGTACCGAATTTCTACAATAAGATTATTAAGTGAAAGCACAAGAAACATTCCCATCTATCCTATTCGAACTTTGGATATAAAGTATTTATGATTTTTTTTTTTTTTTTTTTAACTCAACACATTGTTTTATTCATATTAAAGGATTATCTTTATACACATAATGATACTACAAATATGTAATTTTTTCAAGGAAAAAATTCAATAACAACAATGAATATCCCAACTTGCATCTTCAGTAGCCGATATTGTCTTTATCATAGCATCATAGTCCACATTCCGTAAGTATGTTGCATGTTCATCGTTCTTTACATTTTGCAACCCATATAATGCATTGACAGTGGCTAAATCAAATGCAACTTCATACTCCTCTAATCTGGGCATTAGCATAGAATTCCAATACTACCATTTTTGGTTTCATGGGCATTTGAATAGAATTCCATTACTATCATTTTTTCTTTCCTAGTCATTGGCATAGAATTCCTTTACTACCAATTTTGCTTTCCGAGCATTGGAGTAAAATTACATTAACTACCAAAGCCAAAACAACCTCAACCTTTTAGTGAAAATGACATAAATCAAGACTACCCTTGCAGCGTCCACAGTGCTGTAGTGAGTCTCTAGGATCAATCTAGCTAGACAAAGTGTCGCCAGATTCTTGTTTCAATCCCAAAACTTTCCTATTTCCTCCCATTTTCGAGAAAATCGACCCTGGCCTCCAAAGAGAAAAAAATTTTGTTTTCAATTTCAGGCATTCTCCCCTCAAAATTCATACACCATTACAATCCATTGCATCCCTGAACACTCAAACACCCTTCCTTTGCAACAATTTGAAGAAATTTTGGAAACACTAAGTTTTCCGAAATTTGGGGGTTTTGCAATTTGGATGAAATTTGGAGCAATGAAAGGTTAGATCTTCTTGGGTGTGGTAAGATTTCAAGTTCCCATGCTTTGAATTGGTTCAATTTTGATCATTGATGCTTTGAATTTGAGATTTTGCTTGAATTGCGTTTTTGGTGGACATTGTTGCAATTTTTGGATTTGATTGTGATATGGGAGTATAATCCTTTGTGGGTTTGAGTTGAATTGAGATGGAGTTTGGGTTTGTCGATTTCAATTGTTGTGGGTGGAATTTGGAGTGGATAGTTGTTGAATTGTTGAGTTGTTGCTTGATTGAGTTGTGTTGGTTTGAAAAGAAGTGATAGATTCTTAGTTGCTTGTGCTAGGAAAGAGTCGTTTAAAAGAACTACAAAGGGGAAGCAAGCAAGTAGACTATAGGTTTTTGTCTTCTAAGGAGAGAGAACGATATGAAGCAACCGTCAAGAAGAAAGATAAAGGTTTTATTGTAGAGAGAGGGTTGACTAGTATCTATGCATCAAATTGGTGGATAAAAGGGATTGTCAACTTTCATGGAAGAACCTAAATATCTAGCCGTAGCACCCCTAGTAAGAGAATTCTACGCCAATTTTCCTGATTGTGAACCTAAGCATGTGTATGTGAGGAGAATTAGAGTTCCATTTAATGCACGGGTAATCAATGAATTTTATGGAACGAGACCAGTAGACCATGATGATGACTGGGAATACAAGAAAAATCCAAAGTTTGAGGACATCATCAAAGTCGTGAGCTACCAATAAGTTCCTGGCTTGGTATTGTTCCAAGTATTTCATCATAATCAAGATTTTTCAAGTATTCTACATACTCATCATGCTCTACTACTCTCAAATCATAGAATTCATTGATCACCACTACACTGTAAAGAAGGTTTACACCCCTAACATATACAGTAAAATCTCTCTATAGTCATAATAGTGAGACTAACTAATTTTATTACTATGAGAAGGTTATAATTTAATAGAGATATAGTTACAAAAAAATTTTATTCATAATTCATGTTTTAATAATACAATATTAAAATTTCAATTCATATTTTAATAGTATTAGTATTTTAATTCAGCACTTCAATTGCCTACTTTTGAAATGAATAGAAGATCGTATCTTTGAACCAACAAAGATAAGTATATTTGATGAAATTGTAAATGCAGTTACTACATGATCAATTAACGTAAAGCTACGAACAATTGTCAATTATTTTAAGCATTGTAAAATTGGCACCATCGATGTCAATGAATTGTAAATTACAAATGAAGTAGATGAGAATAATCAAAGAATCCTTGTAGAATTGAGTGATCAAATTCAGCAACTTCAATATACTAATTAAATAGATATTAATATCTTCTTCAATCATCTAAATAAATAACAAGTCACATATGTTTTAACTGAAAAAAAATTACTGCTATAATTAAACAAGAAAAGAAAGAAAATAATAATGAGAATGATAATACAAAAATATAAAAAGTCTCATAGCAAGAAACTCTAAACATGCTTGAGAAACTAAAAATGTTTTGACTTCAATAAAAAAATGTCAATGATAACGAGTAATGTACCTATAAGTTAAAAGATGTAATAACAACTCTAAAAAATAAATTATTTTCTCAAACAACTTTAGATAAATATTTTTATTTACATTTAATGTAACATAACATATATTTTTTTGTAATATACAGATAATTATTACCATGTAAAAGTAACATTCGTTAATACGGGAATTAAAAATATTATAACTTATTATAATGTAGAGTTTATTCTTATTCATAACTATCCCAAATTGGAAATATAATTTTTTATGACTATATAGAATTTATTCCTATATAAGATTGTAGAGAGTTTTACTGTATATGTTCGTAATTTTTGTTTTACCGAACATTGGCATAAAACTCTCTTACTACCAAAAGGTAGTACTTCTCCCATATCAAAGCGGCAGAGAGCTGCAAAAATAAAACAAAAGTGCTTCAACATCTAACCCATCGAGCTACAGTTGAAAAGCAAAATAAAAATCCTAACTCAACACGATCATTAACAATATTAGAAATATAAATCTAAAAGGATTAAGCAAAAAATAAACCAAAGGAAACAAGTTGCTGATGCAAAATGAAAATCCCAACTCAAAACAATCACCAAGAATTTTGGAAACACAAATCTTAAAGATCAAGCTACTGCATCTTATAACAACATTTCTTTGCAACCGAAAAGTTGATCTAATAACAAAGAAAAAACTGAAATTATAACTTACGGAGAATAATTTCTTGCCAACTCCTCCCATACCAATAAAGGAAGGGAGCATATGATTATATGCATATACCCCTTGGCGTCCAGCTTTTTCTTCTTCTTCTTCTTCATTCCCACCTGCGAAGGAAGAGAGACAGGCGGCTGTTTGAGTAAAGCGGTGCGATGAGATATTTAGCTGAAATGACCTAGTCTTCAAACATTTATGTTTGCAGTTTATAATAAATTTTTTGTTTTGAGTTTAAATGATTTAAGAGTATGTTTGGGCTTTGGGCTGGCCCAAATTTAGCTGGTCCCTTTTTCATTGTGAGATTATGGAAAGAGAAAGCATGTGAAATACTTCAATTTATTATAAAATCAACAAAAAGATAAGCATTTCAATTTACCAACAACATACTACATACGACATTTTTACTCGTTATTTTCTCATTTGATGCACAATTTGACACTCTTAACTTCTCTTATTAAGTTATCTTTGGGTGATCGAGTAGTTTAATAGGGATTCTTAGGTGTATTACTCAAGAGGTTCTGAGTTCGAATCTCTCCTCAGTTGTTGATAGCCTGATAGGACAGTCACTGGAGCTCTTATTGGCTAGTAATTCCAAAGTCTCGGGAGATTAATTGAGGTGCGTATAAATTTATCTAGACGCTCCTGATAATTAAAAAAAAAAAAAAAACTCTTATTAGGTATTAGGTATGGAAATTGGAGACAAGTCATGCTTACTAAACCGATTTGCAACTTTGTTATCTTGTGACTTCAAGCATATCCCAAGGCTTGTAACATATCCACTCTTTTTGTCAAAGACTCATTTGAATAACACAATGGTTGTCTATGCTAGATATTTGCTCTCTAGTATGACGCCTAACAAACATTCCATCAAAGGCTTGTAACATATCCACTCTTTTTGTCGAAGACTCATTTGAATAACACAACGGTTGTCTATGCTAGATATTTGCTCGCTAGTATGACGCCTAACAAACATTCCATCAAACACTTGGTGGACGTCACCCTAACACTCTAGAGCTCTCTTGGATATTCTAGAACTTTTTTGGATTCTCTACACTCTTATAATTAATATGACAATTAATAAATAATAGTTGATAGATAGTAGTTTGAAGTTAGCTAATGTTTTGCCCATCACATATTTGGGACTACTCTTTTGCCCGAGTTTTTATATCAAGAACAAATTAGTTGCATGCATTTTCACTTGAGAAGTGACTTTTCTCCCTCAAGAATCTGACTTAATTATTCTAAAATAAGGATTAAATTAGAAGCTAATTAAGATTAGATGCTCCATAATTGCGTAAATAATCTAATGTACGTAAAAATAAAGTAAATACATAAGAGAATGACATGATGGATGCATGAAATTGAAAGATCTATGATGATCCAAAACCTCGGGGCGCATGAGATGTAAGTAGCTCTATCATGTCGGATAGCTTGAGACGGAGTAGTTCTGCCATGTCCGAGCGAAGTAACTTTGAAGTCCTGTCATGTTTCATTCATCGTCCTCTACTGAAGCATTAGAAGAACTCGCACCAAGACGCACCTATGGATGTTATCCATCACGCTCTGATACCCACCTGTGAATGCTATCCGTAACATTATGCACTGTTGAGTGCTCCTATTGTATTATTCTTCTTTATAAGCTTTGTCAATAGCCTTCTAGGTGTCGTTTATCCATATCCATGGAAGCTTCATTTAGTAACTTGCTCTATTTCAAAACGCAATTCTTTCTCTGTATCAAGCTCCGTTCAAGGGAAACAGTACACAAATATAACAATGGCTCTTCATATTAATCAATCCCCAAATCAATTGAAAAATGCTTTAAGATCTAACCCTTCGAGCTACACTTAAAAAGCAAAATAAAAACATTCTGATCTATCCTATTCGAACTTTGGATATAAGAGATTCATGATTTTATGTTTTTGCTAAATCAACACATTGTTTTACTCATAGTAAAGGATTATCTTTATACATATAATGATGCTACAAATCTGTAATTTTTTCTAGGAAAAAATTCAATAACCACAATGAATATCCCAACTTGCATCTTCAGTAGACAGTGTCTTTATCACAGCATCATAATCCGCATTCTGTAAGTACGCCTCGTATTCATCATTCTCTACATTTTGCAACCGGTAGACTGCCTCCATAGTGGCTAAATCAAATGCAACTTCATACCCCTCTAATCCTTGTTTTTTCTATCTTTGCTCTCCTGGACATTAGCATAGAATTCCATTACTAGTTTACTACCATTTTTAACCCCAACCCTTATACAAATTTCAGTGATGAGATGCGGAAAAACATAACTCCCCTCACTAGTTTAACTACATGCCTTATATTTTTCATTATAATCCCGCCTACATCCATTTTCATTCATGTTGCAATGACATAAAACAAAATAGTTCGATCTACATCCACTGAACCGTAATACATCCATTTTCATTCATGTTGCAATGACATAAAACAAAATAGTTCGATCTACATCCACTGAACCGTAATACATCTCTGGACTCATCCTAGAACAAACGAAGCACTGCTAGATCCTAGCCACAATTGTCAAATCAGTACCCCTCAATTTTCTCCTTCCCTTCCTAGTGACTTCCCAGGACGCTCCTGGCTTTGCTATGACCGATATCTTTCAAATTTTGGATTTTTCTTGTATCCTCTCTAATCATCACGGTCCACTGGTCTAATTCCACAAAATTCATTGATTACCCGTGCATTAAATGTAACAAACATTTCATCAAGATTATAACTTATTACAATGTAGAGTTTATTCTTATTTATAATAATCCCAAATTGGGAACATAATTTTTTATTACTATATAAAGTTTATCTATCACGATAAGAGAGATTCTACTGTATATGTCCATAATTTTTGTTTTACCGAACATTGGCATAAAACTCTCTTACTACCAAAAGATAGTATTTCTCCCCGATCAAAGCGGTAGAGAGCTGCAAAAATAAAACAAAAGCGCTTCAACATCTAAGGCTTCGTTTGGTTCGTGATTTAACAGTTTTGAAAATAGTTTTCTGAAAAAAGTTGGTGGAGTTGTATTTAATAGTTTTCTGAAAAAGTGTTTGCATTTAAATATACTTGTTTATTTATTATAATTATCAATAGATAATGTCAGAAAAAAGTTGTTTGCATTTAATAATGTCAGATAATGCTGTGCGCCTGGCGCCTTTGTGTCATTCCTTTATTCCACGCCACTTCGCAAGCCAACAGTTAGCTGAACGCAGGGGTGTTTTTTGATAATTATTGAACTTTTCAATTCACATTTAAATAATATTAATTAGTTGTTGTGGTAAATTTTTAAGGGTTTAATTAAAAACAATTTCTCCGTAACAAGTTCGACTACTAATATCTATTTAAAAACACAACATTAATACATATCTAAATTAATAATACGAAGCTACTAATCATCCCAAAATTCTTTGTACCCCAATGTTCAGTTATCAATACGAGTTGGACTCATGTTCTGCCACAGAGCATAGTTATGCTATCCCTCATCCTTCCCAGTCGTCTGTATTACGCTGAGTCAGTTGATTCGAACTCGTCCCATCTTCTCCTCACAAACTCCATTGCCATTAAACCTTTGGAAGATAGGGTCATTCGTATCGAACCTTTTGATAAAATATGAATTACACAACATCATAACTAGTTAGCTTGCTTCTGCAACGGGTATTATTCATGCCATCAAGAATGCGGAACCTTTTTTAAAAAACACCAAGGTCCTCTCCACACATTCCGAAGCGATGCATGTCTGTAATTAAACAACTCCATAGTCCAGAAAGGTTACGACGCACATCGGAAACATGATAAGGAACCTGTCTATGTGGGGCGAGGAACCCACCTTTGTTCGCTAACCCGCATCTACTAAGTAATATTTACCTATAATGATATGAATGTTATTTGAAGAAACATGAAAAAAATGTTTCTAGTTTAGCTACAGTACATAAACAAGTGTTATACAGGGAGAGGAGTGCGGGAAACCCAACCAGGATCATCTAAAACTGAATTTAGAACCCTTGCGTCATGGGCAGATCCTTCCCAGCCAGTGACACATATGTGAACAACATATTGAAGTCCGCACGGCCATCACATTCTGCGACATGCCCCTTTACGATTTTGATACGTATCACTACCCAACTGCGTCGACCCACTATATGTGTACCGTCAATCGCTCCAATACAGTCCTGTTGACAAAATTGCATTTTAGTAATATGTGAAGACGAACAACAATTATGAAACAATGAACTTAACCAACATCTAATTAAAATTATTAAGTACCTTAAGAATGGGTAAAAGTTTGGGTTGGTCGATATCTCCAATGGAACATCAGTAAAGTCAGGTGACTGATAAAGACTACATCAACTCCACTATCGCATCACAAACTGCATGGACATTCTACAGATTGTCTCACAGAAATGCTGGTAATCCTCCCACAATCACGATTTGACGCATTTCTGCCACTGTTGTCAAAAATATCATTCTTGTTCTTCAATACTCATGTGTCTGGTTACTCGTAGTTTGCCTCGTTTGTCAATATATAACATAAGGTTTGAAACATCTTTTGCTCATGCGACACTTATTGTAAATTCTTCTAGTGACCATTCAGCAGTTCCACCATATAATCGTGACCATTTAATGAAGATGTATTTACAGGTTGGCGTGATTGCATGCTTAACTCCATTTCATATGTAATAGCCCCACACAACGCGACTGCAGCATATATATATAATTGTTCTTCTTCACTCTCATTATCTTGATTATGGTTTGTATGGCTAGATGACGCCATTTACACCTGTCCATTTGAGCTTTACTTCCATTAGTTCATACTTTTTAATACTAAACAAATAAATAACATTCAATTTAAAGATATGAATCATGCACAACAACAGATGGTGTATCGATTCTTAGAACAAAGCAAGTGAAGTCTGTAATACGAAGAAAGTAAATATAAAAATATCTCATATGTCAACAGAATCAATAAACACTACAAAAACGAAACAAGTTCAACAAGGAAGTCCTAAACTGTCATCTACGTACGACGGATATCATTATAAACCCAAAATTCCCTGTTCGCATGTGACATGTTCACCATAAGCTACGCCACTCTGGGTTGGCAATTAGTACTTCATAGCATCCAAATATACTTGCGGTGGAAGTTGCATACTTTCCAAAATTG